CATACTCAGGAGGTCTGGTCACCTGGTCACCTCTAAACATCAAATAAAAATGTGTGTAATGGTGAAGGAGACATCTTAGATGGTGCAGGAAGACACAGGAAAAGGCCAGGTAAGAACTTGGGCCCATCTTCAGTCATCTGCAGCATTCTGACATAAAGCTTCGGATTTAAACAGACAGAATCAGGACAGGGGTGAAAGGTTTGTATAATTTAACCGTCCTGGGCAAAGGATGCTTTGGTTGGTCCTCGATTGTGGAGAGATACGGGAAGGTGTTAATTACTCATTATTGTCTGATGGGTGGTCTGTCCCTAGGAAGGTCTTTTGTTCCTTGAGGTTTAGTTTTGTGTCCCCTCCCTACCCCATTCCCCAGATACAATATGGTAGCTGAGGTGCTGAGCTTGTTTCTTCTTTGAGTTCATTCCTGGGCACCATGTGAGGAGTTCAGTGCTTTCCGGCAAAAGCAATTTTAAGTACTTCGCACAATACTGGGAATACTGGCTATTTAAAAGGTTCTTTATGATTCAGAGATGTATCCTGAAATATTGATAACGTCATTAAAAATAATCCAACGAAGGAGTCGAGACTGGGGGGGAGTATAAATAAAATAAGATGGGCCATAAATAAAATAAGATTTTTGAAGGTGGCTAGGTGTGGGGTCCTCAATAGGACTTATGATGATATTCTTTTATATAGTTTGCTGTTTTCCATTGTAAACCATTAAAAATAGCACTCTGTCTCCCCTTGAAGTTAAAAGTAAAGGTTACGATTTACATTTGAATACAGCTTTGCATTTTACAATACCCTTTTCACAACCGGATTCCCTCTTGGTAGAAGAGGACATTCAGGGCCTACTCCTACTGTTTAGGCATCTAGACCCCTTAATATATAACCATCCTGGTTCCCCATATATATACATATATATATGTGTATGTGTGTATATATATGTATATGTATGTATGTATATATATGGTCCCTTGCCCCGCCCTCTCAGGGCAATGCTCCTGATTAGATTGGTAGAGAAGTGGATTTGCTCTTCGAGGAGTCTCTTGATTGGTTACTCATGAGTCATCCTCCTCCCTCACCCACCCTTCCTCTCCCTCTGTTGGAGCCCATCCCGGCTGCCATATTCTACCTAGCTGAGAAGGCCTAACTCACTACAAACTAGGTCATTTACAAAGAACAAGGACTTGTTCTGATCACGGTCCTGGAGGCTTGGAAGGCCACCTTACTGGCGAGAACTTTCCTGTATGGTTGGTCCCAAAGTATGGTGTAATCCGGCGGGGTCTCTATGGGAGTCTTCTAACACCTTCTATTCATTCATCAACGGGTGATTCATTTGGCCAAAGTCTTCAGATCGAATCTCCTTTTGTTTACCACAAAATGGGGACTAGGTTGCAACCTGAGTTTTTTTTTTAATTTTGTTTTCTGGTGGTTCATGGGAGAGGAGAGTCTCATGGACTTTCCTTGCCCAGGCTGGCTTTGAACCGTGATCCTCAGATCTCAGCCTCCTGAGTAGCTAGGATGACAGGCAGGAGCCACTGGCGCCTGGCTTACAGGAGGATTTTTATTGTGGCATGGCCATACATGCACCAACTTTGACCCTCCATTAAGAGCCCAGGGAAGAGCTGAGAATCCTCAAGTCGGTGCTAAGGACTTTGAGGTTCTTGAGGCAGGTTAACAAGATGTAAAATGGCTGCCACACTGGGGCAGAAGGCAAATCAGGCCTGGAAAGCCACTAATTTGTCTTTTCAAAGCCATTTTTTGGTAGTGGATTTCTAGTCCAGTGTCTAGAAGTGTTTTTATCTCTTTGGGTACATTTGTGTTGGCAGTAGTGTAACTTTTTGGTTGTCCTTTATACAAGGACTCAAAGTGACATTATTTCCTTTCCCTCTTTCTCCTATATTGGGAAACTCAAGATGAAAAAAAATCTCTTGAGCCGGGCACTGGTGGCTCACGCCTGTCTTCCTAGCTACTGAGGAGGCTCAGATCTGAGGATCGTGGTTCAAAGCCAGGCTAAGCAGGAAAGTCCATGAGACTCTTATCTCCCATGAATCACTCAGAAAACCGGAAGTGGCACCGTGGCCCAAGTGGTAGAGCATTAGCCTTAGCTGAAGAGCTGAGGGACAGCGCCCAGGCCCAGAGTTCAAGCCCCACGACTGACGAAAACAAAAACAAAAACTCTCAACCAAGCCAGCAATCTCCTCCCTAACTTTTCTCTCTCTCTGACCACAGCAAGGAATCAAATCTCTGTCACACAAGAGATTTGTGACTCAGATGTAGTACCAGTACACTGGGTGATAAGAACCAAGGCTGGCATCTGTCTTGGAACATGTACCCCAGATCAAAGATCCTGACCACTCCCCTTAAAAGCCAGACGTTTTCTCTCAGGGGCCAGACCGTAGTCTGCTTCATTCACTGGACAGATTAAGAAATACAAACATATATAAAACAACAACAGGGAAGCCAGGTGCTGGTGGCTCACACGTGTCATCCTAGCTACTCAGGACACTGAGATCTGAGGATGGTAGATCAAAGCCAGCCAAGGCGGGAAAGTCCGTGAGACTCTTATCTCCAGTGAACCACCAGAGAACCAGAAGTGGCGCTGTGGCTCAAGGGGTAGAGCGCTCGCTTTGAGCTGAAGAGCTGAGGGACAGCGCCCGGACCCAGAGTTCAAGCCCCACCACCACCACCAACAAAAACAACAACAGGGAAACAGGTGCTGGTGGCTCACACCTGTTATTCTACACTCTCTTTCACACACACACACACACACACACACACACACACACACACACACACACACCACACCGGCCCCTTTGCCTCTTTTCTGTTCCTTCATTAACTTGCTGGCCTGGCCCGTTCCCTTCTGACACACTCGGTGGGATCTTACCATCTTAAAAGAATCTGCGTGTTTCCCTCCTTGATTGACAGCTTAATTTTTCAGACTCCTTTCTCCTGAGCGCACTGTGAAAGCCGGACTCCTTCCGAGCAGACCTAGGGCTTTCTTTTTGCTCCTGCCTCAGCCCGGCGGACACTAAATAATTAACCTCCATCACTCTCCTTTTGTGTGCTTGATCTCAGCATCACCCAAAATAGCTGGTGGCATTTCCTTTGCACACACAGAAAGCAGAGAGAGCCACTGGCATTTGTGAAATATAGATGTGTATGTTTCCAAAGTAGCAAGGGGGAGAGTAAGAGCTCTTGATTCCATCAGTGATGGCTCCTTACCAACTTCCTACTCCCCCTAACTCCGCTGCTGGCTTTCTCTGTCGCCTTGCAATCGGATGAATGACCAATTCCAACTCTGAAGTATCCCAAAATGGGGACTCTCCTGGCTGAAGGAGGAAGAATTTTCCCAATTGTAATGATGTTTTTTCTTCTTCAAGTCCTGTTAGATTTTGCTTTCTACTCCCTCCCCCAATGAACCACGGGACAGATAAGCCTAGCATGCCATCTCCTCAGCTTTCTTCTTGTCCCTGGATGGAGAGATTTTTCAGCTTGTATTTGTTTTAGGAATACCTCTAAAATGAAAGGCATTGTGCTCTAGGCATGCCGGTCAGTGGGTGAAAAGAGGAAAGAAAAAATTTTTCTCTTTAGACCCAGCAGTGCACACCAGGCTTGTTTTTGCTAATGGTGTGAAAATCCATCAGTGAGATTTAGACACTTGCTAACTTGGGTCCTATTCTTTTTGGTCGGTCATGGGGCTTGAACTCTGAGCCTGAGCTCTTCAGCTCAAGGTGAGCACTCTACTACTTGAGCCACAGCGCCACTTCCGGTTTTCTGGTGGTTCATTGGAGATAAAGAGTCTCGTGGACTTTCCTGCTTGGGCTGGCTTTGAACCGAGATCCTCAGATCTCAGCCTCCTGAGTAGCTAGGATGACAGGCGTGAGCCACCAGCACCGGGTTACCTTGGGTCCTATTCTAGTCCCCCCTTTATCTAATCTGTTTAGGGGGCTCCTCTAGGGGACTCTTCCTGGGCTGAGATCGCTTCCTTGTTCAGGCATGCAGCCTTTTCCTCTAAGCACAAATTCTCATTAGAAGCAGCGTTACAGGGGCTGGGAAGGTAGCTCAGTGGTAGAGCACTTGTCTTGCATGCCTGAGGCCCTGGGTTCGATTCCTCAGCACCACATAAGCAAAAAAAAAAAAGCTGGAAGTGGCACTGTGGTTCAAGTGGTAGAGCGCTAGCCTTGGGCTGAAGATCTGAGGGACAGCGCCCAGGCCCAGAGTTCAGGCCCCACGACCGGGACCCCCCCCCCAAAAAAAAAAGCAGCGTTACATTTAATAAAATACTTCTGTACAGGAGAAAAATAGGTGATTTATTGTGTCCCAACGTGTATCACGATGCATCTATTTATCATAAATACAAGTCTTCAAGCCATGCACTGCTAGCTCACGCCTGTCATCCTAGCTACTCAGGAGGCTGAGAACTGAAGTTCACAGTTCAAATCCAGCCCAGGTAGAAAAGTCTGTGAGACTCTTACCCAATTAACTACTAGCAAACTGGAAGTGGAGCTGTGGTTCCAAGTGGTAAAGTACTAGCCTTGGGCACAAATACACAGGGACAGCGCCTAGTCTGTGAGTTCAAGCCCCACAATTGGCCAAAAAAAAGGTCCATGGATGAGTTTAGGGAATAAATCACAGAAAAGAATCGCTTTTGGGATGGACAATCCAGGTCTTGATGTTTACGTACATCCTGCTTGTCAGTTGTGGAAAGGAATAAAAGCAGACTGACAGGCTAAGCCTGTCCCATGATTGGGAAGTGGCGCTGTGGCTCAGGTGGTAGAGCGCTCGCCTGGAGCTGAAGAGCTGAGGGACAGTGCCCAGGCCCAGAGTTCAGCCCCCACGACCACCACGACCAACAACAAAAAAATCACTTCTTTCTTTTTTGTTTGTTTTTTTGTCTGAGACTGGGGCTTGAACTTGGTATCTGACACTTTTGCTCATTGGCTGGTGCTCTACCACCTGTACCAGGCCTCCAAGCCCAAGACGTCCACTTCTGGCGAGCACCAAGATGGTAGCTCCAGGAATGCCTCCATTTCCGGTCACAACGCCAGTTGGTGTGTCACGGTTTTTCACAGAGAAGACTTGTCTCCTTGATGGCCTTCGAGTCCTGACCGTCTCTTCGAGATGGTTCTCTGGTCACCATAGTCCGTAACTGCTCCTCCAAGTAGAGGAGCTGATCCACTTCAAAACAGTCACTGGCGCGGGACACCCAGCTTTCCAGACGCTCCTGGACCTCGGTGTCATTGGCATTTAGATGCCTTGCTGTCTTCAGGTAACTGTAGACCTCTTCAAACACTTCCGCTCCCAGCTTCTGGGTGGCTGAGCTGTCAGGAAAGGTAGGAAAGCTTAGGACGCGTTACGTGTGGCAAGAAACGGCAAGAGGAGTTGTGTCTAAACCATTGGTGCTACAAATAAAACTGCTGCACTAGGATTTAGGACAAAAATAAATAAATAAAAAATAGGATCCTAGGGAGAACCGCAGAATGTATTCAGTTGTACTTACTAAGCACGGAAGAGTCCAATCCTCTCAACGAGGGGACACGCTAACTTTTAAAAAAAAAAAAAAAGGAAGGGCTGGGAAGGTGCTCAGTGGTAGAGTGCTTGCCTTGTATGCATGAGGTCCTGGGTTCGATTCCTTAGCACCACATAAGCAGAAAAAGCCGGAAGTGGCGCTGTGGCTCAAGTAGTAGAGTGCTAGCCTTGAGCTGAAGAGCTGAGGGACAGCACCCAGGCCCAGAGTTCAAGCCCCACAAACGACAAAAATGAATAAATAAATGAAATAAGAATAGAACAGCAGCAAACACCACATTGTGAGATGCAAGCCTCAATCCCTACCCCGAAACTGTTATAAATCCGTAATCAGATATAGACAAACATTTTCACACGTGAGCACATCTGGAATCACTTTCTAAAATAAACGATGGGTCGGGGCGAGGGGGGGGGGGGGGAAGACATCATAAACACAATCCTTTGGGGGGCAGCAGGAAAGTGACAGGTGGTCTGTAGTCGCAAAACTGTGGTGTAAATGTATTCTTAGGACTTGGGAAAGGCTGTCATATTTATGCAAGGATACACATTTGAATATTTGGGGGGAGGGAAATTCACAAAATAGAAAATTCTATTTAGGGGGGAACCTGGCTGTTGTATTGTGATGGGGAAGGGGAGGAAGGGAGGGAGGGCCGTTTCTCCTCTACGCTGTTTCAATTAACGGAGTGTGGGGATGATTTGGGGGCTCTGGCTTGTTCTGGCTGTTGCTTTCTGGGCCTCAGGTCTCATGGCCTCCAATCACCCCCCCCAAACTGCTTTTGTACAAACAGCTTGCTGGCTTTCCTGGGTCCCGAGGCCCCGCTACTACTGCTGCCACCTCTGCCGTTGCTTCTTCTGTGTTACCCCCTCCACGGTGGCTGTGCCAATGACGAGAATGATAAGCAAGCCGTGACTGTTACACTTCAGCCGGCTCCACTGAGTAACGTCCATCCCCTGGACCTCTCGGCCTGCGTCTCCCTGCCTCATCCACTGCACTTGCTGCATGTTAATTCCTGGGTTCTACCTTCCTCGTCTGTTATCATCTTGGTTGGTGTGCGTATTATTATTGTCCTGTGACTGATTCTCTTCTGGCTGGCAAGCTGTCGCTGAGTTCCACACGTCGCCACCTGCCTGTCCATGAGGAAGGCCACAGGTCTCACTAGACCACCCACGCCAGAGGCGGCCCTTCCCACTTTTGGGGAGTACAGTCAATTCCACCCATCGACACCCCCACCCCCCGACACATACTGGGCTCTCATTAAGAAGAGGGACATCTACTGGAAAAGCAGATTCCTCGCATTTCACTGGAAATTTAAAATTATATATATCCAATTTCCATCATTTTCCTCAGCCACTTTCACAGGAAAGCCTTGATTGGACCTCTTTCTCTGCTCAGGACAGATGCTTTCCAGGAACTGGACAGGCATTCCAGAGAGAGGAGGGTTGGGAGAGGGAGAACCAGCATCCTCGGATGAAAGGCGGTAAAGGACGGAAATGAATTTGTAGAGCGATCGTGGAAGCTGACACCTGTTCTGGACGGAAGAGGACAGGTGGAGCCGGAGCCGGGCTTGGCATCTGCTGGGTGGGGGTGCCGGGGATGGAGGGGGTGGTGAAGCTGCTGGGTTTGAGGGCCTTGGGTCTCCTCTGAGGTGTGGGCTTTTGGGGGGGGTACAGAATGTGGTGGGTCGCAAAAGGGGGGAACAGAGTGGATGATATCATCTTTCCCCTGGGAAAGCGAAGTCTGTGACCTTGCGTGGGTCTGTGGAGAGCTCGTTTACAGATGGAAAGAGAAGAAAGGGGGAAACAAGGCCAGGAAAGGGAATGGGAGCTTCCTGTGTTCAGTCAGACCAGAGTTTTGTTCCAGGAAGACTTTGGCCACGTCTTCGCATTACACGACATTGCAAGGACCAGCCCTGGGTCACAAGGCTGAGTAATAAAGCTGTAATGTTCTGTGTGTGTGTGTGTGTGTCGGTCGTGGGGCTTGAACTCTGGGCCTGGCCTCTGTCCCTCAGCTCTTCAACTCAAGGCAAGCACTCTACCACTTGAGCCACAGCGCCACTTCCGGTTTTCTGAGTGGTTCATTGGAGAGAAGAGTTTCATGGACTTTCCTGCCTGGGATGGCTTTGAAACACGATCCTCAGATCTCATGCTCCTAGGATGACAGGCGTGAGCCACCAGTGCCCGGCTATAATGTTCTTCATTACTTGGCGTAAGTTACCAACAGGAGGCGTTCGCGATTGCTTCATTTCCTATTTTAAAAGTCAGTTGGCTGACTCCATGGTGATTTTAAAAGCCAACAGCATCAGCAAAACTTGCAGCATTACATTACCAATCTTTATGGATTGTCCATCTTTGTGACCCTAAGTACCAAGGGTCCGTCCTGTGAGTCAGTAATTATAATAAAGGTCACATCCTGTGACCTCGTAATTACAAGACATTTATCTTAGGAAAGAACCTGGAAATTGGAAGTAGCATTAGGTTAAAAAAAGTAATGCTTATGTCAACATTATATATGGGTTAGAAAAGCTGAAAACAATCTAGAAGGATATTCCATTATAGAGAAATTAATGAGTTTGGGGGGCACTGAATAACACTGGAGAATGTTCGAGAAAGGTGGGTTGAAAAAGGCTGTGACATTAATAGCCTATTTTAAAGTTAATATTATATCACAAGACTATCCCAAGTCATTCCATGAAAACAGTGTTCTCAAGGGCTGTAAAATATGTTAGTGGATGTAAATATCGTCAACTATTAACTATAGTTGACTGTATCCTTATGTACATATAAATACATATGTACACACTGTAAACAACATTAAAGATAGGGTCACAGCAGGCTTACTGCTCTGCATCTTTTTTTTTCTTAGTTGACAGTATAATCCAGAGATCTCACTACATGAACACATGCACGTCTTCTCTACTTTTATTTTTTTTGTGGGTCACGGGACTTGAACTCTGGGCCTGGGCGCTGTCCCTCAGCTCTTCAGCTCAAGGCGAGTACTCTACCACTTGAACCACAGCACCACTTCTGGTTTTCTGAGTGGTTCATTGGAGATAAGAGTTTCATGGACTTTCCTGCCCGGGCTGGCTTTGAACCTTGATCCTCAGATCTCAGCCTCCTGAATAGCTAGGATGACAGGCGTGAGCCATCGACACGTGGACCTCTTCTTTTTCTTTTCCTTCCTTCCTCCTGTTCTGTGCTTTCTCTCCATCCTGTCTTTCCTCCCTCCTTCCTTCCTTCCTTCCTTTCTACCTTATTTTATCCAATGGGAGAAGACCGTGAGGGACAGAGCTAGCTTGAAGATGATGCCAGTTTAGAAGACAGCAGGATGTGCATGCGCAGAAGCCATCCAACGTGGCTGATGGGTGGAGAAGGCTGAGAGTATCACTGTTTAGACCACGGCTACTTCCAGGGGGACCAACTCACCGTGGAATTGGGTCATATTTACTGTGCTTCACTTTGAGGAATCTGGCGATGAGTTCTGCCCATCAGAGTCCTTTCAAATGTCCTTGGTCCATCTAATACTTGATGCTGTTACTGACCATGTCCTTAGCCTCATGGAAATTGCTTGCATTCACTTTGGTCCCAAGGGTGCCCACAAACCACAGCTCGCCCCATTTTTATGGGGGAGGGAGGTGTTCATTTGAGAATGGGCCCACGTGGACACAGCACAACGCTTTTAGGGGCGGCAGATAGATACAAATAAATGGCACGTGCCAGAAAGTTCCGATGGGCTTTGTACTGGCTTTGTATTTCGCTCTTAGTTAGGGATCATTTCAAATATGGTAATTAGCAATTAGGTTGTTTTCCTGCTTGATTCATGCTTTCATTTTCATTTCAAAGTTCTACTTTGATTGAAAAAATCAGAGAGGCATGATGGTTCTTCACTCTTCCAGGAAATTTGGCCATGGTTTAGAACAACCACAGAATGGCCTCTTTACCTGATGTGAGGAAAGAAAACAGGCCGCTCACTGAGATTTTTTGTTGTTGTTGGTCATAGGGCTTGAACTCTGGGCCTGGGCGCTGTCCCTCAGCTCTTCAGCTCAAGGCGAGTGCTCTACCACTTGAGCTACAGCGCCACTTCTGGCTTTTTCTGCTTATGTGGTGCTGAGGGATGGAACCCAGGGCCTCAAGCACGCGAGGCAAGTACTCTACCAATGAGCCACCTTCCCAGCCTGGGCAATGAAGTTTTAAATAATAAAAGCAAGAGATGAAAGCAAGGGATCAAGGATAGAAGCTAGTTTTCTTACAATATTTTGTCATAGGTTGAACCTATGAAAAGATGTTCTATAAGAGCCAGGTGCTGGTGGGTCACGCCTTGTCACCTAGCTTCTCAGGAGGCTGAGATCTGAGGATCGTGGTTCAAAGCCAGCTGGAGCAGCAAAGTCCAGGAGACTCTCATCTCCAGTGAACCACCAGAAAACCAGAAGTGGCGCTGTGGCTCAAGTGGTGGAGCGCTTGTCTTGAGCTGAAGAGCTGAGGGACAGCGCCCAGGCCCAGAGTTCAAGGCCCCACCACCAACAAAGAAGAAAAGAAAAGAATCTGGCAACGTAGTACACACCCCTTCTCTCCTGCAAGTGTGGCAATGTGCTTCTTACGTTTCTACAGCCTCTACCTTCTCCTGTCCCCAGGGGATGGACGTATGAGGACTTGCAATCCTTAGCTAAGATGAGCAACCTTGTACACCCTGCCTTGTTTTGTTGGCTTGTTTCATAGCCCCGTTCCTTTTGAGATACAGATCTCTAGAAGGAAGATGGCCTGGCCTGAGGAGGGAGGAACATAATCATTTTGGCCGAGCTTTTCCAAGTTCCATTCTGCATTCCCCTCAGCAGCGTATGGTGGTACTGTTTCTTCACACTGTAATCAAACTTCTGGATTTGGTTTTATAGTCTCTCTCTCACACACACATTTTTTCCCCCTCTTCCCTTGTAGTCTTTCACTGTGAGGTCTGTTTCACTTGCCTGTGGTTTATTACTATTTTGGAACTTCAGAAGCTGTTATTTTCGTGTCCCCAAATCTCGGGGTGGAGTGGAAGGGTCCATTTCAGGGATCCGGTTTCAGCTGAGGTTTTCATCTTCTTTATTGGAAGCCCGATGGTGCTGTTTGCAAAAGCGACTGGAAGTTCTATTGCTTTCTTGTCGCTACAGGTGCTTGCGTGCGGGCGCGTGTGTGTGTGTGTGTGTCCGAGCTGTCATGCAGACTGTTTGCAAGGTCTTTCCAAGGTCACACACAACAGCTGGGCAGAGTGCGGTGGTGACGGCTGTAGTCAACAATATCAGAACTGCAGAAGTCACCAGCCAGTTCCATAAAGCCACACAGAGGTCAAACCCGGTAATTGGCTCAGCTTGGGAGAGCTGCCTTCCCCTGCTCTCTAAGGCCTCCTTTCTCTTTCAATCATGCGAAGACCTTGACCCAGGAGGGCTAACCTGAGACCCAGAAGCCCATGCCCTTTATTGGTCCTTCTTATTAAGCTCCCAACAGTGGATGGCTCAGCAGTGATTCCCTGAGCTCACCGTACAAAAGTATGGCACGCGGGAGAGGCAGGAGGTCTGGACTGGTGTCAGCTCGGGTTCTGGGGTGGGAGGCTTGCTTTCCTGGTATATTCCCCACCCCCTCCCACTGTGCTGGCCAGTGTGCAAAGCCTGATGCTTTGTGTAACACACACCCCCGTGCTGTAGAAAATGTCAAGGCTCCATTTTAGAGAGAAGTCTGGTTAAAACTGGGTTAAGAGCCAGGCGCCCGTGGCTTACGCCTTTCATCCTAGCTACTCAGGAGGCTGAGATCTGAGGATCACAGTTCAAAGCCAGCCCAGGCAGGTAAGTCCGTGAGACTCTTATCTCTAATGAACCACTCAGAAAACTGGGAGTGGCGCTGTGGCTCAAGTGGGAGAGTGCTTGCTTTGATCTGAAGAGCTCAGGGACAGCGCCCAGGCCCAGAGTTCAAGCCCCAGCACTGACCAAAAAATATCAAATAAATAAAAAAGGAAAGAAAAGAAAACAAGAAGAAAAAAGTAATTTTTGTGATACATGGAAGGAATATGAAATGAATGTTTCATATGTTTATAGAATGACGGTGGCTGTTGGGTTACGAGTGCAGTTTTGAGCAACGGTGGGCATTTTGTTGGGTCAGCTAGCCTTTTATTTATCTATTTATTTTTGTCGACCATGGGGCTTGAACTCTGGGCCTGGGCGCTGTCCCTGAGCTCTTCAGCTCAAGGCGACCGCTCTACCACTTGAGCCACAGCGCCACTTCCTGGTTTTCTGATGGTTTCATTGGGAGATAAGGGTCTCAGGGACTTTTCTTGCCCGGCCTGGCATTGAACTGTGATCCTCAGCTCTCAGCTTCCTGAGTAGCTAGGATTGACAGGCGTGAGCCACCGGCGCCTGGCAGCCTGGGGTATGTTGTAAGGCAGCGTGGGGTGAGTGGCTTGCTCGCTACACCATGCTGGGACAGTCAATCCAGGGCTACTCACTCCCTTATGTGCTGCATCCTGGCTCTGGCCATTGCTCTGTTGAGTTCTCTGGGTCCCGGGGACCAGTCTTCTGCCTCCGTACTGGTGGTGGTCCTTGTGTCTGAAAAGCAAGGCACAGCCTTGAGTGACGCAGCTTAGGGTGACTTTCAAGGACAACCACAGAACAGACGCTCATCCGCCCTTAGAGATAAATTCAATTTAGAACTCACACATTAAGGATACTGACTCCGCCTGATAAGATTAGATTATGTACAGTTCGGTTCACGTCGAGACCAAGCTGGTCCCACTGAAAAGATGAGCTTAGCTTGTTAGGAAACTCTGAAATATCTCTGCCTTTAGCAAGCGTTCTTGGGGAAGACTTCCGCAGCTGTGGATACTTGTTTCCATGGCTGAGAATCTCTGCTCATAAGCTTAGCTTCCCCTGTGTCTTAATTTCATATCTGACTCTTTGCTCGTTTTGTAATGCTGATCAAGAGGTGACAGGAGGGCTGGGAAGGTGGCTCAGTGGTAGAACGCTTGTCTGGCATGCCTGAGGCCCTGGGTTTGATTCCTCAGCACCACATAAGCAAAAAGAAAAAAGCTGGAAGTGGCGCTGTGGCTCTAGTGGTAGAGCGCTAGCCTTGAGCTGAAGAGCTGAGGGACAGCGCCCAGGCCCAGAGTTCAGTCCCCATGACCGGACCCTCCCCCCGCCAAAAAAGAGGTGACAGGAGCCCTGACTTCCAGCAGAATGAAGTAGAAAGCCAAAAAGGGGTACTCAGAAGGGTAAGAGTTATTCCTACAAGTTGAGGTCTTGGGAAATCTGTTGAGAGTAACATTTTCTCCTGGGAGACCCTGGAGGCCATTATACAAACTCGCTGGATCTGAAGGGAAAGAGATAGCCCTTCAAGTGAAAGATGGCCTTCTTTCCTTCCTTCCTTGAACTGTTTCTTTGGCTCAAAGTTAGCGCTCTACCACTTGAGCCACAGCGCCACTTCTGCCTTTTTCTGCTTATGTGGTACTAAGGAATCGAACCCAGGGCTTCATGCATGCTAGGCAAGCACTCTACCACTAAGCCGCATTCCCAGCTCCCCGCCCTCTCCTTTATTCTAACTTTATAAAATTGTTTCTGTGAGGGCTGGGAAGGTGGCTCAGTGGTAGAGTGCTTGGCTTGCATGCATGATGCCCTGGGTTTGATTCCTCAGCACCACATAAGCAGAAAAAGCCAGAAGTGGCGCAGTGGCTCAAGCAGTGAAGTACTCGCCTTGAGCTGAAGAGCTGAGGGACAGCGCCCAGGCCCAGAGTTCAAGCCCCATGACCGACAACAACAACAAAAATTGTTTCTGTCAGGGTGATGTGCAGAGAGGTTATTATTGCTTTGTGAGTTGGGTAATGAGTACATTTCCTTTTGGAAATGGAAAAACTCTTATTTCATTAGGAGCTGGGGCCATTCCTGTTGCACACATCCTAAGTGTGCATTTCCACAAACGGCCAGCAAGTGCCTGTCGCCCTATCTGCAAAACTGCGAATTGTAGCCGCCAGAGAAGAGATCAGTGCAGTGGAATCCTTGCTCATTTCTCCTTGGAACATGTCTGTCTCTTGGAACATGCCCTCTGTCTCTCTCTTTTTCTTGGTGCTGATCCTGGGGTTTAAACTCAAAAGCCTAGGTGCTATCCCTGAGCTTTTTTTTTTATTATTTCATTCTTTTTTTTTAATTTTTATTTTTTATTGTGAATATACTGTACAGAGGGGTTACAATGACATGGGCAAGCTAATGAGTACATTTCTTATCAAGCATTGCAGCCTCCTCCTTTGTTTACCCTTCCCATCCCTTCCCAGCCTCCCCCCGCCCCCCACCCAATCCTCTCCCCCCGCCCCAACGTTGTAAAGTTCATTTTCGACATGACAACTGAAACTTCTCTGAAGAAGAAAGAAGGATGGCCAATAGACACATGAAGAAATGCTCAACCTCTCTAGCCATAAAAGAAATGCAAATCAAAACAACATTGAGATACCACCTCACCCCAGTTAGAATGGCAAAAATCAAGAACTCTAATAACAACAGATGCTGGAGGGGATGTGGACAGAAGGGAACCTTACTGCCTTGTTGGTGGGAGTGTAAACTTGTTCAACCACTTTGGAAAGCAGTATGGAGGTTCCTCAAAAGACTTCACATAGAGCTCCTCTATGACCCAGCAATCCCTGAGCTTTTGTAGGTGTAGCACTCCTACTATTCTTTGAGACACTTCCGGTTTTCTGGTGGTTCACTGGAGATCAGCGGCTCACAGACGTTCCTGCCTGGGCTGGCTTTGTACCTCGATCCTCAGATCTCAGCCTCCTAGGTGCCTGAGCTTTTGTAGATGTAGCACTCCTGCTATTCTTTGAGACACTTCCTGTTTTCTGGTGGTTCACTGGAGATCAGAGGCTCACAGACTTTCCTGCCTGGGCTGGCTTTGAACTGCCATCCTCGGATCTCAGCCTCCTGAGTAGCTAGCATGACAGGTGTGAGCCACTACCGATGCCGGGCGGGTCAGTAGCTTTTCTTCAATCATCTTGCCTAGAAGCTGAGAGGTTCCTGAAGACACCATCTCGCCTTGCCAAGCAATCCACGTGGAGCTCGAAACCCACTTGTGACAAGAGCAGAAGGGAAGTGCTGCTTTCCAACTCTTCCCCGGGGAAGCGACAAATCCTAGAGGTTTATGCAAATAAAGGTCAAAGCAATTTCTGGGCGAGCTGCAAGTTATTTTAAGCTGATCACCCAGTCCTAGGGCTCTCAGCATGGTGAGGGAAGAGGCTAAGCCTGGAGCCCAAGGGCAGAGCTCAGGGAAAATGTCACTTCAAGCAACATGGTTGGCGAAGCTTTGGTGCTCAAGAGTAAATAAATAAATAAATCCATTTTCAGTATTTCCCACTGGCCCTTCTTTCCCACCTTCTAACGTGAACAGTGGGTGTTTTGTGTCAAAGAAAAGACAGCAATTACGACAAGACAACCCGGTCTGGAATAAGAGAAGTCTTTTTTTTCCCTTGATAGGTCGTGTTCTTGAACTCTGGGCCTGGGCGCTGCCCCTCAGCTCTTCAGCTCAAGGCTAGCACTCTCCCACTTGAGCCACAGCGCCACTTTTTGAGTAGTTCACTGGAGATAAGAAGAGTCTTAGGGAGACTTTTCTGCCTGGGTTGGCTTTGAACTGCGATCCTCAGATCTCAGCTTCCTGAGGAGCTAGAATGACAGGCGTGAGCCACTGGTGCGGGCAAGATAGCATGCCTACCCATCAAAGCAACGAGCAATCGAAATAAGCAAATACTCAGCAGCAAATAGCGGGGTGCAAGGACACACGTCACAAGCATTATGACATAACGGCAGTCTCTTTCCCGCCTGTGAAATACTGAAGGCTAACACTTGACGGTGCCCCATGGAGATGTGTTGACAATGAGAGGAAGGCAGCCTGGAGTAGACAGGCATTAAGCAACTCCAAGTTGTGCTTCTCAAGAAGGCGAAGCTCAGCTTGTAATGATAATATTGTCACTTCTGTGATCTTTCACCAGCAGAGCTGTTCTTCCCCTAGGAGTGACAGCTTGATGATTCTGACATTTTAGCAGCAGCAGCAGCAGGAGAGAGGGGGTGGGGTAGGGAAAAGCGTCTTCTCTTATTTCTTCCAAAAGTGCCTTCTGAAATTACCCTTTAAAGCTGCTAGCTGCTCGACATTATAGCCCGGCACCGGTGGCTGTCATCCTAGCTACTCAGGAGGCTGAGATCTGAGGATCACGGCTCAAAACCAGTCCAGGCAGGAAAGTCTGTGAGACTCTCATCTCCCATGAACCACCAGAAAACTGGAAGAGGTGCTGTGGCTCAAGTGGTAGAGCACTAGGCTTGAGCTGAAGAGCTGAGGGACAGCGCCCAGGCCCAGAGTTCAAGCCTCTCATTTTCTCAAGGCCTTCCAGAAGCAGCAGGTGCTGGGAAGACAGGCACAAAATGATCACCAAACAAACTAACTAACTAAAAAACAAAACAACGAGTCCCAGTGGCCATGTTTCTCCTCCTACTCCTTGGAATAGGTCATGATGGAAGATTCACTCCGAATCATCAAGGATTGAAGGAGAGTCAATATTTCAGACTATGCTCGCCATTCAGGCTCTGGGGGAAATTGCTCAGCTCCAAAATGACAGCCTGAAAACAGTCCCAGGCGCCAGGTAAGGGCAAGTGGCCAGGTGCCAGGAGCACTTCCTTTCCAAAGCAGGCCTTGGTTTACTG